AAACCACTGATAGTATAACTGACTTACAAATAGGATAAAAAGAATCTGCATTCACACATCCAAGTAACACAAACACACACAACCTTCACCAAAATAATTCTATTTCTAACCTTAACCAGTTTCACATCAGGAACCAGCATGCCAACAGCTCTGGTACTTGAATGTGTTTACACTCAGATGAATGGAAGATGGAAATAGGAGAAAATTCAGAAACCTGGTGAGTACAGTGTATGAAGAGCGTGGGACTACTAAATAACTGTAGGATGGGTAAGTGGCACCTAAATAAAATGTGCCTCAGTGTTTTAAACTGTTTAATGTACAGAGGAGCAGTATGAAGATTTACAGTGCATTAGAAATAAAGGGTGTTAAAACCAACAGAATATGAACATCAACATTAGTAGAGCAGGTGGTCTTCCAAATGTCTTAAGTGGCAGCTCATAGTTAAGCAGCACACTGAGTTTAGAACAACTTCAGGAACGGTATGTTAAGCTAGAAATTTACAGTTAGCAGCTCAATCAGTAGCTAATTTCTTTCCATATCATAAAGACTGAGAAATTAATTCATTAACTTACCTTCCCACAAGGAGAAACTACTGGTATTAAAGGGCTATTTTTGGAACAAAAGACAACTGCAGGTCATATTAAACCAGAATGATTTATTAGTAGTATTCTTTTTATTAAGTGATTAGTAATATTGTATAGTACTGTGTAATTAAGATTTTAAGACCTACTCAGGGAAGAGATTAGTCATTTGTTTTCAAATTAATACTGCACATTTTTCTAGCAGATATGCTACTGATGAAATAATTAATCACAAATGTGTTCTACAAATGGTTAAAATAAGTGACCAAATATCTATCAATCTATTATGGCCTAAACAGTAAGGCATGGGAATCAAACTAACTGCTCCTTAAGTACAGCAGCTTAAGCAAAGCTACATTTAGAACAATGCCAGGTCAGGTCCAGAGATCCTGCAGAAGCTGAGGTTCAGGCAGAAGCTGCTGTAATGAAGAGGAACAGCAGTTAGTCAGAGCTCAAGAACACCACAGTGCCTCTGAAAAAGTTTAGCAGAATAAATAGGGTCTTGGGAAGAAGAGTGAAGTGGAAGAACACAATGGGAACCCTCTCTCTGAAGCCTAAAGGTGCAGATTATAACAGAAGAGTATCAAATGCTGAAAGGGATAAGGAAAACAGAAAAAGTGCAAGCTGACAGTGTAAACTGACACTGTGGGAGTTAAGGCCCTAGAACTGCAAATTATTCTGAGAACATTTCCTTTCTGTACTTATTTTGCTTTTTGATTGAAAGCTGTTTAGTTAGAAGAGACCTTCTGAGGGGAAACAGCTGCATTTCATTATATCTAGCTCTCGAAACTCTACCTTTTTTGTACTAGCCTATATAAAGGCAGAAAGATAAATAAAAGGCTCTTGTAAGGCAAGAGGATGAGGGAAATAAAGTTGAGTTCTCCCTGGTTATTTTTCAAATGCCTAGTGGGAGCATGCAGCTCTTTTTCAAAGGTTGAGGATATGGATCTTAATAGGAAGAGTAACCAGAGGCAGGTCTATGCATCCCAAATACCCAGGGGATAAGTTTGGGAAAACCCTGAAGCTGACAATCAGAAGGTAAGATTACTTGCCACTAACCAGAGCCTGTAAGATGCATTGTCCTCAAGTGCTTCCATGCTAGGCTTCCTTGACATGCTGTGTAGTTTCATGCTCCCTTTTCCACCAAAGCAATACTTACAAGATATGTTTAATGCATGGTTAGGTCACTAGCATGTGTCGTACAGCACAACCAATACCTCTTAACTGTAGAAGCGCAGAGAGCCATCAAAGGGCTACCAGAAGTGAGGAAGGAAAGGGAAGTCATATGTACATAGGAACAGTCATTTTAAAGAATATCCATGCCTGGTAACTTCTTATTCGTGTTGCAGGTAAATTCAAGTTACTGCTTGATGTCTAACTCCTCTGCTCCAATTCTGATTCCACATCCTCGGGTTCTACAAGAGGCTGTCTCAGAATCTTTCAAAGGAACAACAAATGGATCACAACCTTTGATGTATTGAGTTCCATACTGACTTAGTACTGACTACTGTTGCCTCACAGTACAGTTTATAAACAGAGAAAATACTAGGTGTTGTAAAACTAACCCTTGCAGACTGCTACATTTTTAATCAGTACCAAGAAAAGGAAGGAGTAGTTGGGTTGAAAAGAAGTTAAATCTTCAGACTGAGGACATTATTTCTTCCTCTTCATCTGAGGCCGAGAAGAAAAGAGGAATGTGTCCTGTGTAACATTTTGAAGGCTCTGTGAAACTGTTGGATGATGGTGCTAAGTATGCCCTTGCATGGCTGAGCACACACCAAGCTTCAGTATTGTGAATGCAATCCCAATTCACTTGGGCAGGCCAACAGCCTTATAATCCTGAATTCCTGCTTCTACTTGTCTGTAGTTCCACAGGACATTGGCTAAAAGATAGCCAGAGCTTAAAGCCAATATTAAAAATGGTGCCTGCCCACTATCCTGTGCAGCTCCATATAGTAATGGCAAGACAGCATTCAGCAGAACAAGTGTAATGACTGCAGTGAACTAAATTTTTAGACATGCAACTGAAGTTTTTATTTTCCCTCTGCTCAAAAATTTCTGATTTATAATGTCTCCTTTCATCTGCTTACATTCCAGGTACCATATCAGCAGCCCCTTAAAATTTGTAACCAGAAAATACTGTGATAAAAACTATTGGTTGAACATCTTTACAATTTTGTATTCACTTCAGCTGTCTACTTTTGCTATAAGCTCTATATGAAGTATGATAGAACTATGTGTGCTTATACTCACCCTTCATATAAACTGTTATGCCAGAATCCTAACACATGCCCTTGAGAGCACTGTAACCATACACATATAATTGTGTATGTGACAGGCCCTAGATTAGCTGTCACTACTCAGAAAAGATAGTAATGTCATCACTACTGGAAATCTCAATGCTTAGCATCAGTAAGAAATTGAGCAACAGAAAAGTTTCAGAAACAAATAACGAACACTTACCTCACCACAGAAATGCATGGTAAACAAAATTTAAAATGCTACATGTAGCTTGAATCATCTTCCCTCAAAAATGGGGTAGCTGAACAAAAAGGAGGCACAAGAAAGTAAACAAGAACAATCAGAAGCACTGAGCAGATTCGATGCAAAGATTCTACAGTCCCAGAACTGTTCATCTTGGAAGACAGATGCATCGGGGGAGTGAAATGGCACATAAAAGAACTATGAAGCTCTGAAAATGGTCAAAGGAATAAACAGAGGGCGAACACTTCCTGGGAAAAAGTACTCTGGAGCCCAGTTAAATTACTAAGCTAACAAAGGTACATACTTTCAAAAAAAGCATAATTAAATCTTGCAGCTCAGTCAAAGGTTGTAGTAGAAGCTCTAAATACAATTACCTCCAACCTCAACATGACAGACTTGCAGTAAGCTTCACACTCTAATTACAAGTTCCACAAAATATCTCTGACCACAGAAGGCTACAGCAGAGAGCGGAAGCTAAGCACATTTGAAAGAAAACAAAACCGTAACAAACCCCTGCAGTTGTCTGGGGTTTTAATATATACAGATATATGTAATGTATAATGTTATCAACTCATAAATATATGAATGCTATTTATTATCTCTACATATTTATATATCCAGTTAGTATTAATAAAACCCTATGTGTTTGCAGATACACAACACATGAAAATTCTACTTCTGAAATTGCTGAAAAGTAACAACTACATTTAATTAGTTGAACAGAATTCTAAGAGCTGATAATTACATCTTTTAAACAACTGAAGACTTTCTCGGTGCAAAACAAGCAAGAATTGTTAGGTGGATTCTGAATCTACATAAATGCAAATTTGTGCCTCATATAAAAAAAATTACCTACTTGGAAAAACTTTACAAAAGAAGCGGTAGCCTCCATTTCCTGATGCGTACAATCCAGTTAAAGGATGAAAGTTTTCATATTTAAGTTACTGGAAATGATTTGCCAGATCAATTTACAAATTCTTCCTGTTCTCATGTGGTCCAAAATCTGGATTGCTACATATTTAATTTTAGTCTGTAATTTTTGTGCAAATCATTCCTCTGATTTTTGCGAATGTTGCTTTAGGTTGATTGCGCTCTATGATTAATAAAAGAGTAAATACAAGAGACAGAAACAACGTCTGATAGAGTCAAACCAAACAAAGGTTCAGCATGAGATGCAGAACTTGGTGTAGATCACTGCACTGGAAATGGCCGAAGCTATTGCATTACACACAGCAAAGTCTTTGTCTTTTTTATCTTTAGTTCTGATTGCTGATAAACACACACACAAATGAGGGAAACACCTCGGCTATAATTAACCATTCAGAATGAGCTGTACGCACAGAGTACAACAGAAGTGCACGAGAAATTCTGCACAATAGAAATATGGTGAGGTTGAATGGTTCACGGGTCTGGGATAATCCTTTTCATCTGCAGTGGACTGAAATGGCCCATATGCGCAGGATAGCTGTAAGAGTATGAAGGCAGCAAAAGCCCAGGAGTGAACTACCTGCAGCCAGTAACCAATCTGACAAGCTGCCAGCGTGCCACATCCCAGTTGAACCAAACTGCTGCTGCCATCACAACCTCCAAGGTCACAATCCAGGGAACCTTTACCACCCCATCTGTATCTCCAGAGGAGAGGGCAGCTCTGAACGCAAACCTGTCAGGAAGATGGTGACAGGTGGGGAGCACAGCACAGGAGATGCTGCTTATGACAAGACAGATCCTATACCCAAACTGTCTCTGAGAATCGAGAATCTGTAGGTAGCTTGGTAGGCTCCCAGCACATACTTGGGACGCCAGGCGTAAAACACCCAAGACTTCTGGTCAGACACAGGAAGAAATTAACAGGTAGCCTACACTACCAGAGGCAGAAGCTGAGACAAACTCAAAGCAGGAAGATCAGCGTTCAAGTCTGAAAGAAACTGCCCAAGCTGTTACAGTAAATGACTTTTATTTTTTAAAAAATGAAATAACCGTGAACATATTAACAGGCCCGCAGGTGGCACTACAGTACAGCTGGATATAAGGTAGATACATTTCCCCATGTACCCGGACAATGAAATCCATTGCATCAATGCTGACATTAGTAAATTCTGAATACAGTTCTATCAAGCAGGAACATTTTACTTAAAATAGTTCTGGACAAAGTTGACACTGAAAGTTAACTTTTCCTTCACTTTGGAAAGGACAGATGTTTTCAGCTAGCACTGGTATTGGGTGAACTATTGCCTGCAGTCACCAGTGCAGGGAGAGATGTACAACATCTCCACATGAGAAGAGAGTTCATACTCCTTTTTAGTTCTCATTCTGAGGAAGCAGGGTGGCTTAGGGAGAGGGGGGAAGATGGGTAAGGAATATGGGCAAGGAAGGTGGGGTGTCAATTTCTGTTCACACTCCTTTGGCTGTTTTTGTGCTATTTTGGACTGCTTTCTAAAAATCACTTCTTGATTTTATTGAAAGGAAGACTAAATGTAATGCGCCTTTCCTTGAAAATCCAGGAACAGTTGTGGTACTTCAAAAATACTAAAAATATCTACTTTCATGAAATATTAACTGTTTCACTACAAACCTAGTTTTTCACTAAATACACAATTCTCCTATTTCTGGAGTCTCCTGGGGGAAAAAGTGGGTTCTCCCTTTATTTCTGCAACTCTACGGTGTATAGAGAAACGGCTACAAGAAGGGGAGTGCAGAGAAAAGCTTTATTCTTTTCCTTGGCCTGTATCTCACATGGGAAGTTTGCTTAAATTTCTGCAGTTGGGCTGCTGTTGGTTACACTCCTTCAGCAGCTATCAACTAAGTCTGCAGTAGGACAACCCACGTCCAGCACATTCCTTCTAACTTCATGGAGACTAACTAGGCATGAGGAAAAAAAAAAACATCCACACTCTTTATACCATTTCTAATCATAATATGCAGGAACACCAAGTGGTTTCCACATTCTTCCAATTTGCAAAAGGCCACAGGAAAGGGACATGGCACCTTTCATTAGAATCTGGAATTCTGCATGTAACAGTGCGACCTTCCGTTAGACCTTCAGTGTTGAGGCAGCGTAGAAAAGAGTGGCTGAAGAGTGTGTGTAATACTGACCACACCAGCTCTTAGTGAGAAGCCTCTGCTCCTGCAGAGGCAGTCATGTGCAGTCCCTGTATATACTGTGAGCAAAAGGTTTACTTCACAGGGCATTTGGAATTAGCAATTCCTACGATCTAGCTAATTTGGATTCATGAGCTTTCAGTGTGCCAACAGCATCTTTCACTGCATGGTAGATAATGTTCTTCACCTGTAGCAGGAAAAAAAAAAAAGAATCGATTTCTACAGACTAACAAGGAGAGTCTTACACACCTATGCAATCAATTTTGACAGCTGAATTCATCATAGTTAGCAAGTATACAGAAAGTAGATACTATCACTGTTTCAGTGTATCAACAGCACAAATTTTAACTCTCTTGGTTAGATGACAAATATTTTAGACACCTGCACTGATTTATTAACTCATTTTTTGGTCACCCAGCAATATATGTTATGCTATTTTAAGATAAAGTCTCTTTTTTGAGGGGTAGAAGGAAATACACTATGAAGTTATGCATATGAGTTTATTTTGAAAAAGTCCTTGTGATCCAAGTCACAGATTCCCATGAATCAAGCCCCAAAGGAGCAGGAAAATCATATGGTTTAAGATGATGCAACAAATCATCCTGTTGTCTTTGTATGGAGGCTAGAAATTCTCCTAATTTATGCATCTTCCAGAAAGCATGCAAAAGCAGAGATCGCTCACAGCAATCTGTTCCATGCTTAGCTATTTGACAGTCAAAGTTCTATCTTGTTCCTGATTTTTCTGATCTAAGTTTATTTGAATTCTGTTTCTAGGTATTGAAAGGAACACTCTCACTTCTAAGTGAGTAGCTTAATTGCACTTGCTCAACTAACTGCCAAACACCATCATTTTTTCCTGATGTACATATGATCTCAGGCTTTTGTATCATTTATGCAACACTTACTTGGTGTAATTTTTAATATCTAGATATACAAAAATTAGACAGATTTTATATGAAAATACTACAAAAAAATACATGAAAAATGACAAAATAAAATGGTAAAGTTTGGCTATGATGCACAAATACAACCAATATTCCTTTTCACAGGAGTATTGACTTCTACTTTGCCAGAAGTTGCCTTTTTCCCCCCCTTTTTTTTTCAATAAGCATTATTCATTTGCAACCTATTCATTTACAGAAACACTTCCTCATCTGTATCATTACAGCTGAAGAAGTACAGTGTTAAAAGCTGGATCTCCACAATGAAAGTTGATCCTACTTCTGCCTTCCTTTAAGATCCTGTGCAAATCTGTATCAAAATTTATAGCAATTTTTCACATACTTGTTTGAGAGAATTAACATAAGTTTCAACATTCTTGGTTGACATATTGGAGAATGGCTATATATTTGAGTACTTAACTTTTGCAAGAACAGCCATTCTGCAAATCTCTACCCTCCTTCATTTTACATGCATGAGATTACTAATACACAAAAAATTCTAACAACAAAATTTGCAAACTAAAAAGATACTAACTCTTCAGAAGCATACATAGGTGAAATAAAAAAAAGGTCTCCTATGGCCTTCTCTCTGTAGAACTTACTGTCTTATACACAGTGTACTACTTCAGTGCATAATATGTTCTGTGCATAATCATTAGTTTAAGCAGTCAGACTTCTTCAAAACAAAACACATATAATTTTCCTGTTTGGGACTAATTTAGAATCAGAATCATTTAGGTTGCAAAAGATCTTTAAGATCATCAAGTCTACCACTAAACCATATTCCTGATTTAAACAAGCAAGCCTTCACGTTCAGACCAATTTTCCTTTAGTCAATAAAGAAACAAATACAAGTGTCCTTGGTCAAATAAACAAAGCACTGCTTTTTCCTTTTTATTTTTTTTTCTGCTACGCTTCAGTGTCATTCAGGATTCAGCCATTTAAAAACTTATTAACACCAACACACGCCCTAGTCCTACAGTGGAAAAGTTCTCTGGAAATCCAAAAGTTTATTACTAATTTTTGTTTACATAATACTGCAGACATAGGTGCATTAATTATTTTTAAAATACTCATCAAATTAGAACCTCCAAAGCTCTTGGAAGTTGCTATTTTTTTCTTAATCATTAGCCACGCGTTTCTAGTATTGAACAAAGCTGGGAAAACATTGGATATATTTAGTGACTACTGTCATAAAAGTGTTACCTGCAGTTTATCCTCATGGTTTGTGTGAGTATTAGACAGGTGCCTGAACTCCTGGGTCAGACGGAAGCAGTGCTTCACATGTTCTGGAGATACAAAATCTTCTGCCACTTTAATGCAGCTGTACAAATTATGGACCTAAAAAAAACCCGTATCAAATGACAGATACATCAAGACTGAATGAACCGTACAAAACCCAAAAAACCTTACCACCAGGTATGTTAGGTTCTTCCACATTCACTTTTCAGAAACAGGAACTGAAGCCTATTTAGAATTGTGTCTAACGGTAAAGTCAGAACAAAAGACATGACATCTGACATATTCCCTATTCTCCCACATAGACTAGTGTTCCCTAAGGGAAGTTCTCTACACTTTTTTGGAATTCTGTTCCTTTGGCTGAAGTTTCACTACACACAAATGTTTTCCCATCATTCACCCCCCTTTTTTTTAATTCATTCCATGACAGTACTGTACATGTAATTCAGGTATTTATATACTTTTTACTAATATAATGACTAAGATCCAATTCAAATCGTTCCTGTAAGAACTGCATATATAGAAAAAGGAACTTAAGTCAGCAGTATTAACTAACAGTTACTTTAAGGTGCAGTTCTGTTGTGCCTCAAGTTGAATTCTGTTTATCAATACGGCATACGTACCTGATGGGGAGCACCTGCAGGAATGAACACAGCATCTCCAAGGAACTGCACTATTGCCCAGCCTTGTACACCATACTCATCGTAGAGTCGCTTACGTAAGGTCTGGTCCAAGTACCAACTTTGGTCATGAATGGGGTCGTGATCTGGGGGATTTTCTTGGCCTTGTTCTTCTCCAACCTAGGGCCAAGATATGGGGGTTAAACTATCACAGATGTGTGTGTGTGGGGGGGGAACTATGACATAGTGCCTTGATACTGCTGGCTCACAAAAAGCTCTGTACCAAAAAAACACAAAGAACTATTTCAAGGTAGGACATTAGTTTCATTAAGCTCATTTAGGTCTTAACTAGTGACATGTGCATTAGTATGAAGAGTCTAGATCAGGCTGAAAACCTGAGAACATAGTAACTATTAATGTCCTCAAAGACAGCGTTAGAATACCTATGCACTTCATGTTAATAGCTATTTTTATCATTCAGCTCCTGTTAGTAAGCTAGTCAAGGAATCCTGTAGGCTCAAGCCCCCTTTATAACCAACATACCTTCCGGAGAAGTTCCCTTATCTTTTCAGCATCCTTGGCAGCATAGATGTGCCACAATGCTCCAGGTTTCTCTCTTCCTTCATGGATTCGCTGCTTTGTTACATCATCAGCATCCCCCTCATCAATTGTTTTCAGAACCTCTGAAAGGGGAATCCATATAAAAGCAGTAGGATTACAAAGCTTCCGATTTTTGACATATAGAAGAAGGAGCATTTTGAGCTGCTAAATACAGTCACACTGCTACTACAACTGGTGCATCATACAGTGCCCTTTCTAAGCACATCAAGCTTCATTTTAACAAAATTCAGGATGTGTGTCAATTGACGGCTAATCACAAAGAATTCAAACTGAAATAACTACAATTATTCAAATACAATGAGAATAAAAGAGTAACTTAGCAGCCTTTCTCCTCTTTTCTAGCAAAACTCTGCTACTTCCACAGTTGGAAACCAATGAAGCATTACTGCACTTTTAAACATGTGCTGCAGATGTAGCAAACTGCCTTGTATATTTGGGTTATATCTCATAGATATGAAAAAGCTGAAACAATAAAAGGTACAGTCATCTTTCTCACACACACAATTGATTTTTAGTGGACAGAAAAGAGCTTTCCTCAAACATTACCATCATCATGGGTCCCTTCCCCAATGGGAATCCCAACATACACCATGACATTAACAGCATCAGACACATCCAAGTGCAGGTTTGTGGTACCAACTCGTCTGTCTTCTGCAGTAATTAAGCCTATAATAGAGTTTAAAATAAAATAAAATTCTATTTAAGCTTTTATAGAAATTACCTGCCTGAAAGATCTTTCTAGAATGCTAGCTTTATGCAGCAATGAGAGCAGAAACCAATGTCAAAGGGCAGCTGAAGTAATTACTTTCATGTCATACGTGGCATAAGTAAAAATTTTACTGATAACTAGTATTTTTATTTTACAGGAAATTGAAGTAGCAAATTATAGTTCACCTAAGTCATGAGAAAACAAGCCTTTTAAAAACAAAGCCTTAACTTGTATTTTAGAATTTTGTCTCTCTGAGGGTCATTTATACAGTCTGTAGTAGGGAACTTAGCTTTCGTAATACAAAGTTAGTAGGCATTCTTTGTCACTGTCTTCCTTCGCTTGGAGGTACAAGAGAAACCCCAACTGCTGTAAATGGCATCAGCATCATACTGTGTGCAGCAAGTTGTTGGACTGTTACAAGTATAAGCCTCAAGCAGTTCTCATACTCAGCTGTAAAATCCATGTGATCAGTTGAATTCACAGCAGTTATTGTCCAACTGTATACAGATTACAATTGAGTAAGGATAAACACCTGTTGACTCTCAAGTGCTTATACCTTTATATATTGGATAATCTTACCCCTCTCAGGTGGCTATGAGTAACAGAGATTTCAAATGTTTGGCACTTAATCCTTTCACCTTCCCATATAATACATTCTTCTCTCTTCTTCTGACCCTTCAATAGCACTCTCTCTCTACTTTTGCTTTACCATCTCCTCTAGCAAGTAACATGGGGAAAAAAACTAAAAGATTAAAAAAAAAATATCTTTGTATCAGCAAGCACTAATGTAAGTATGATCACAAGACTACTGGTTATGTTTTAGGATTACCATTGTATTTATCTCTTTTCTATTTAAAATACAAGCTTTGGGAGACAGGAACTCAACTCACTGTACAGTACTACCTATCATAACAGACCAGAAACAGAAGCTAATTTAGACAGTTTGAAGCATGAACTTGAAGAAACCACAACTGAAATATAAACATGGATAAATACAATATATAGGTTCAAAAAACAGGCCAGAAAAATTCACAAAAGATAGGTTAATTATTCACCTCAAGTAAGGGCCCTTACGTATTTATTACAGAGTACACTGAGAAAATACAAATACAACATTAATGGCAAGTCTTATGTTAAACAGATCAAGTATTTATACATAAAAATTGGTCAAGCTTTAAGGGTCCTTTACACACAAAACCTGTTGAAGGCTGTAACATTTCTTCACATTTAACTTCTGTCAACAGTCCTGTTATTTAGGTAACTGAGTAACACTTTAAGAACCAAGCTTCAGTCACAATTTTTCTATCTTAATGCTTTAAAATGTTACGTGCATGAATGACTACCTCACTATGAGAACTTTTTTCCACCGCATACTCAGAAAATAAAGCCACATATTTACAACCAAAATACATTTAATATGCTAGAAAAGTTACTCTTATTCACCATAGACACAACTGTTGTTTTTGTATCTAGGTCCACCCTTTCACTAGTCTTTAAAGCAGCTAAGAGCAAAAAGATACAGAACTAGCTGTGAAGACAGGCCTAGCTATTTTTTTTTCTTTTAACTTGCAAGTAAAAGTAAACAAAGTGTAGTACTTTCTCTCTTCTGACCAAGACCTATACATCTAAGACAGATCAAATAGTAGAGGGTTAGATTCTATGCTAAAAAAATACCGCTGACACTCCCTCCACAAACTATGATACAAAGGAAAATAAAACTTTGACATTTAATAAATTCAACAAAACTAATCCACTCCTTTCATTGCCAGCAACTAGCAATACACAAAGACAAGTTAGCTGTCATTGTTTACCTTGCTTCTTGCTGCACTCACACATATATTGCCTGATTACATTATAAGCTCTTCGGTATACAGTTTTCATCACTCAAGTTGCATGTCAAGTAAGACATAAACCAAAACAGTGAACTCTTAAATAGTGAATAAGCTCAATTTGCCTAAGTTCACACACACTTTTTTTCCCCCAACTCTTAATTGTGATATCATACTGCTAAAAAACCCAAAACAAACCTACATACACTTTCTCAGAACTGCAATATGTTGGTTTACAGCTTAAGTCTACTCCACATTCGGTTACTGAGTGTGATAGTTTCACTGGGTGGGCCCTTGGCCAGCAGCCAACAGAGCCATTCACCCACTTCCCCCTCACCCCCAGGGGATTGGGGAGAGAACTGGGGGGACAAGGGTAAGGAGACTCGTAGGGTGAGAGAAGAACAATTTAATAATTGGAAAAAAAAGAAAACTTAAAATAGTGATATTAAAATAGTAATTATAATAATAGTAATAAAATACGCCAATGAGTGATACCCAGTGCCATTGCTCACCACCCGCCGACCAAGCCCGGCCCGTTCCCAGATGATGATCCCAGAGGAGCGACAATCCTGAACTGAAACCGCAATCCCGGGAGAGCGAGAGCCCGAGCGAAAGCCAGAGAGAGCAAGAGACCCTCACTAATATACTGGACATGACATGATATGATATGGAATACCCCATTGGCAATCTAACTGTCAATTAAGTTTATTAATTTAAATATTCTTCACCCTCTTAAATCTTGTGCTTGTGGACTAACAGAACACAAGGTCCTTCACTTCCAGTGACAAAAATGTAAACATCGGGATGTTCTCAGTGTCTCTCTCATAGCAAATTCCAGGCTGAAAGCAAAAAGCAGCACAATTCTAGCTACTGAAAAAGAAACCCAGCTCTGTTTCAGCTAAAAACCAGGACACTGAGCTAAAACATTTTTTTGAAAGATGAAACAATGAAAAATTTTTCATGTCCTTAGGTGAGTTGTTACTGTAGGCATAGAGATAATCAGAATGCAAAACCTTAAAAACCCCTGTACCTCTGTCTCATAAATATTCAAAGAGAACTACAGTAGTTGCATTATGGTAAGTTTGCTTCCACATACTTGCTTTGCAAGACGGCTGCAACCTTTTCCTTATCCATATCACCTGACATTTTTCAGTATATACAAAGAGTAACTACTTTATTTATCTTACTCTAAAGTTGAAAAAGTATGTACTTCCAAATCAGTCAGTTATTTAAAAGTATCCTGGAACTTTAACAATAATTTGTTTTAAATAAAAAGTCTCCAAAACCTGCTTTTGGCCATGGTCTCAAAGTCAGTACATTCAGGAACTGAAATAATTCAAGTTGATATGATGTGCATTAGTTGTTCATACATACTCCACATTCTGCTACACTGACAATTGTGAAAAAGTAATGCTTCACAGCCCCATGCAGGGTATGCGTTCAGACAAAGGTGTCCTCTATTTGTATGCTATTTACCTACTATACAATTACAGTCTTAAGAGGATAAAACTATCCAATTCATGTAGCTGAACATGGTGACAGTTTTGTCTTTTGCATGTTGTCTGTGATCTGTGTTGTTAGATGTGGATGAAGAAAATTACAGCCCTGGTTGGAAACATGAACGCACAGATCTAACTGCCCAGAAGCTGGCTAATTTTCTTTTCAAATGTATCAATTGGTCTCAGAAAGATATTAACTTTTCCTTGAACTCTGTATTGGTATTAGGCTTATTATGTGTATTAAATAATAATTGTTTGCAAGCTTAACATCATATGTACATCTCTTGTACAAAAGGCAAGAAAAGGGCACATCTGACAGAGAGAGGGGACTAGCAGAGGAATAGACTGCACGACCAATTAAAAAAACCTGTCAGCATGCTCTAAGATAATCACTGAGTTTTGATTAATGCCACAGTGTTGCATATGCCTTAAGTATAATAAAGAGCCACAAAAATCAAGATGTGTAGAACTATTCTCACATACCATAGGCATTGTACATTTTGGGACCCAAGTCAGGGCGGACAAAGTAGCTTGGTAGCCTAGAAGCCAAATTGAGTCTGCCATCCCTCTTGGTATATTCAGGAAGAGGAAGATTTTCCATCAAGTCCTCAAATCTAGGGAGCAAAAAGAGAACAAAGGCATGTTTTCCTCCTGTAGCGGCTACAGCAGTCCTGCAGGCATTGATACTAAGGTTTACTTACCTTGTAGGCATCATATCTCTAAAGTCCTCCCCTGGAGGCCAATCCTTTAACTTTAGTACCATTGGCTGACCATCATCTGATCTGAGCCGTTCTGCAAGAAACAAATTAAGATTTCTTCATGTAATATCTTTTCACCAGAGCTCATTACGTTGTTTAAGCTGTAAGCCTTTTGCACCAAGACCTCTTCTATTGCACAGCAAAATGGATCCTGATTTTTCTCTGGGCTTCCAAGCATTACCATAGCATGACTAAACAACAGTTTAACAATTACATACATACATACATATATATATAAAATTACCTACAGCAGAAGTTTGACAGATCTTGCACAGCTAAGTTTTAGAATAGTTTTTATTCAACTTTGAAAACAAGCCTTTCCAAAGCATTCTGCCTTACTACTTTTACTAAAGTCTAACGAAGTTTCATCTTTCATTTCAAGAGGAGTGGTGCTTCTATAAAATTGAAGTTATTGGTTCATGCTCTGAATCAACCCCAACCTCAGTATAAAGCAAGAAACATGGTACACCACACTCAAAAAAGCTAAATGGCAGGTGGTTACTGAGCAAGACAGCCTTTCATTTTTTTTTTTTTTAATTTTTTTTATTCTTCTTTGCTGAAGGCACTCAAATTAGCAGGGTGCTGAATTCAAATATTTGTTCTTCACTTCAAGAGTTGTACGCAAGTCCTGACAAGTAACAGAGAAAGCCGGTAGCACAGAAAAATGACATTATGTAGGCAACAGTGGATCTAAGCTGTGACAGCACTGACTACACCAATTGCTGTTTTGACTCAGATGTATTGGGAAGTGATACATGCGGCAGCTTAGAGGACTCGGCATAACATTTAAAGAGGAACAGAGTTCACTCTTCTACCAGATTCTTCACGACTCTACATGAAACTATCAGTTGGAAAACAGGAGTACTGTAGTCTGAAACCTTCACATCCCCTTTTCCCCAGAAAGTAACATCCTTCACCACTTCCTACCTTAGCAAGGGTTGTTAACCAAACAAAAAGCAACCAATCTTACCCAGACCTAGCAGAGCTGCTGACAGCATCAAAAGAGAAAGCATATCTAAGAACTAGGACCTGGAGACCTGTGCATCACACCTGTATTATGTATCAACATGCTATCAAATACAGCCTTAGTTTGCAATAGAAAAAATTATTTTATTGAAATTAAAAGGAATTAAGAACTGCAGATATGTAAACCAAGGTGACTGATTTAAAGAAAATAAATTTTGATGAGCTACGGATTTAGGAGAGGCAAGTGAACTGAAAAGCTCAAGGACTTGAATTTAAAGATATTTCAGAACTTCTCGTGTTCAAGATTTTCAGTTCATCAAGGATCTTTGTTCCAAACAAGGAGAAGAAACTTGTAGGAAGGCTATTCAGAAAGGACAGAGTGAAGAGCTACCTGGAGGAACACATACAGATCTGACGAATTACACAAAACTGAGCAAAACCCAGATAACATCTGATCAGCAAAGAAAAGCAGGCCTAAGAAGGCTCAAAACAACAAGTCAGACTTGCCAAAAAGTCCACTTAGAACTCAAAGATATTAAAAGTAAACAGCACAAGACTAAAATTAACCAAAATAAAGTATCAGATTGAATAGTTAAGGTAGTATCTCAATACCACCAAGTTCAGTGGCTGTTATACACCTCTTCAGTAACTTCATGCAAGTAGTGGAGGGAACCAGCCACATATTTCAGAAATTCATATAATGCAAAGAAGTCAAGAGTCATTATGTAATTTGCAAACAGTTTTCATATGAGTTTGTGTGTGAAATCTCTGGACTAGTAGCAAATAACACTCTTCTACACTGGGGACTGCACATAGCTGAAAAACACTAAATAAAATGTATTTAACATGAACTAGCAAAAGTGATCAGGTTTTCTGACCTAGATCACTAACGTTTCTCATGTAAAGTGTGGCAAAGGCATTGTCTAAAAGAAAGGCTGCAGCTGATTTCGCTGAAAGGAGACAAACTACAAATAACATTTCTTAACTTGACCCATACAAATTTACTATTTTAATGAATGATGCTAGCACAAAAGTGAAGAGTTTGTTAAAGTTTCCCAGTTACAGTTAATATACAGAAAGACCACACCATTATATCCTTCAAGGCCATTTATTTCTGAGTAGTAACAGAAATAGTATGAAATTTAACAGTAGACAATACAAGAGCCTGTATTTCAAACAATATAAAAACAAGCCAAAAGTAGGGAGCTCTTTGATTGGAAAATTACTAGGAAAAGGAATATTCTAGGTCTACAAATCTATAATTTTTTCTGCTGTTGAACAAACATTCCAATAAGTCATTCAATAGTTCACCATTTCTGCTATGTGCACATAGCAATAAATACAGAAAACATTTCATACACAACACTAAAATCAGCAACATTGCAATGACCTGCTACAACGCTAACATCTGAAGACCACTCTGACCGAGGTATATACAATCTAAAATAGAGCACTTTGTTTCTCAGAAGCTCTATAATCTGACCAGTTATATCCCCAGGATATATATATCCACATCCACACTTGACAGAAGATTTTGTCAAAGAAGAATCCAAGCATTAAGTAATGGGTTATTACATGAAGTATGAATACAGCACTACTATTCATAATATATATAAACATGTATTTGTTATCACAGATGATCTAATATAAAAATAATTTGTAATGTCAAGTCTACTTAATTGATGCATTCCACCAAGCTCCAGTTTTAGCTCTGCAAGTTCCCTTTAGTTTTACAATAAATCTTGAGGTTGGAAGGAGACTAAGGGTAGTCAAATCACTTACTGTCTTAATAATGGTAACTGATGATTAATTTTACTGAAGTTAAAAAAAAAATAGTTTCCCATGAAATGGATCATATTTTGACACACGAAAGCAACACACACCAACACACTGTAGTACAGACAATGTTTTCTTGGGCAGCCCTGCTCTAATCTTCACCAATAAAATATTTTCTAGGGTGCCCTACACGTAAGGAGCAATGGCTCCTTCGGATGAGACTTATAGCTATTTGGATTTAATTATTTATTTATTTATTTTAGAAAATAGGCGGAAAGGGAGGAGTTGAAGGCAGCAAGACAGACTGCTCAGTTAAACTAGTCAGCCATAGATATTACTTACTAGATATTATCTCAAAGCCATCCCAGAAGTCACGCACTTTCACGTCTGAAATTATGGCACAGTTCCTGCAGTTCACCAAATCTACATCTTGATCTCCAAATTCCAGGCTGAAAGCTTCTGGTTTCCAAAGCTCTGACTTCAACTTCTTATGGACACCAGATACCAGCACGGGCTGAGAATACAAAGATGAATGCTTACTCCACCATAACCAAATTTCTTACACATGCAGCCAAACTTTCTTAAGAGCTGAGACTCCTGGCTACCATCATAGAAAAGACACCACAAATCTATTTTCACCCATGTCTGGTTTTTGTGCATCAAACAAATAACCAGAGTCAAAGAAAACTTCAGTTCCAGGCCATCTGCAGTTGCCTTAGAAGCAGTACTGTATTAGACTTACTAAGGCAAGTGTATTAGGTCTACACAGCAAGGTGTTGGCAGCAGGGGTGGGCTCTGTGAGATGAGGCTGGGAGCTGTCCCACGCTGGACATAGATGGTTCCACCTTGCTCCAACAGACTCATTGCTGGACAAAGCTAACCCCATAATTGATGCTGGTGGTGCATCCATGATAATAAGGGTAAAAATGCTCCACAGCTGCTGGGGAGCCCGGGGGGGGAGGGGAAGAGGGGGTAAGAAAGTGAGAGAAACAACTATGTAGACACCAAGGTCAGTGAAGAAGGAAGGGGAGGAGGTGCTCCAGAGATTTCCTTGCCCCTGGAAGAGACCATAGTGAAAGCAGGTTGCCCCCCCTGCAGCCTGTGGAGGACCATGGTGGAGCAGATATTCACAATGCAGACCGTAGAGAACCCCACACTGCAGCGGAGGGAGATGCCCTGAAGGAAGCTGCAGCCCATGGAGAGCCCACGCTAGAGCAGGCTCCTGGCAGGAGCTGTGCGGCCCCTGGGGAAAAGCCCCTGCAGGAGCAAGTTTTTTGGCAGAAACTGTGGCCCGTTGGGGACCCACACTGGAGCAGTCTACTCCTGAAAGACTACAGCAGCCCATGGAGAGGGCTCATGCTGGAGCAGTTCACAAAGGATGGGAGTGATCTCTTTGCTAAGTGATCTCCCCATCTTTAACGTCACGACAAACTTTTCCACCCTATTTTCTCCCCCTGCCCTGTTGAGAAGGGGGAGTGAGAGAGCGGCTGAGTAAGGGTCTGGTAGCCAGCCAAGGTCAATCCACCTGTGGAAGTACAGTGGGTGTTGAGTCCCACCACCTCGCCCTTTTTTTAAGCACAAATGCAACTACCACTAGAAACAGCATTTGTACTAAAGCCTTCTCATATGAAATTTTTATATCCCGATATTAATTTTTTTTAATTATTTCACTGATTCTTTTTGTATAATCATGGATCTTCATTAATTCCCTAGTACAAAACCAAGCAGCAGAAAAGTGGCTGTTCACTTGCAAAACAGGTTTTAAGATGTTTAAGCTAACCATGTATATACATTCCGCACCAAGATTTGAGTGGGCTCTCCCCATAAATGCTCAAGGCATTTCCTAAACTAATACTAGTAAAAGGTATATCAGACAATCCTCCCAACACTGGCCAAGACCTTGTCAGTTCCTCTCACCCTGCAATCTCTAGAGAGACTTACAAGACTTGCGAGAAAAGGAAGAGAGGGTAGGAAGTAAACTTGCACAAGATAGTCCCTATGGACTATCCCACCTGAAGAACTCTAGGTTTTGTAACTGCTACCTGTGTTCAAATGACAGTTCACATGTCTATGCAAGTTTGAATCAAATCCAAGCTGTGCCCTATATATTAACAATGATCTGAAGGTAGATCTTGGGTTTATTCACAGGAAGAGCTCAGTAAAACCCTAAGGAGCACAGACGCCCCTAGATGTTCTAGTCTTATCAGTGCATTAGGCAAAGAGCTATGGACAAGCAACTCAAAGTTACATTGCTTAAAAACACTCCAGTAACTAACTGCTGCTTCACCTGGATTGCCAAATGGCCTCTAACAGGGCTAGTATCCATTTCAGTCCCTAAGTGAGGGCAACTATTCATTCATAAGTGAATGGAGGAAAAAAAAAAAAAAATCTCAACTTTGGGGATAACAGAAATGGCCTTACTTTTCAAATATAACACAACATAGCCCTTAAATTCTAGAAGACAGAATTGAAACCTCAACTCTAGATCTAGAGTGAGGCTTAAGAAAACAAAAAGGGGTTGTTACTTTACTCCTGTCAACTTCAGGGGGGGAAAAAAAAAAAGCAAAAAAAATTCCACAGAACCACAGAAACTTTTAGGTTGGAAGGGACAACCCTCACACTAAAGTGGTTTTCTTGTGTTCAGGTTGAACTTCCTGGTTTTTAATTTGTGCCCATTGCCTCTTGTCCTGTCAGTAGACACTGCTGAGAAGAGTCTGGATTCTTCTTCCTCATTGTTTCTCATCAGGCACTTATACACATTGGTAAGATTTCCTCCCACTCTGCCGAGCCTTCTCTAGGCTCTCTCAGCTTCTCTTCATAAGAAAGATGCTCCAGTCCTTTAATTATCTTTGTGGCCCTTCACTGGACTTGCTCCAGTAAGTCCATGTCTTTCCTGTACTGGGGAACCTAGAACTGGACACAGTACTCCAGGTGCGGCCTCTACTAGTGTCAAGTAGAGAGGAAGGATCACTTCCCTTCACCTGCTGACAGTGCTCTTCCTAATGCAGCCCAGGACACCGCTGCCCTTCTTTGTTGTGAGGATGCATTCTTGGCTCACTGTCACCTCCTTGTCCACTGGGACTCCAAGGTCCTCCCAGGCAAAGCTACTGTCCAGCTGGCCAGCATGTACTGCTGCAGGGTGTTATTCCTCCTCAGGTGCAGAACTTTACATTTCCCTTGCTGAACATACAAGATTTTTCTCAGTCCAATTCTCCAGCCTGTCTATGTCCCTCTGAATAGCAGCACAACCATCTGGTGTATCAGCCATTCCTCACAGTTTTGTATCATCTGTAAACTTGCTGAGGGTATATGAACTCTGTCCCATCTAGGTCATTAATGAGGATGTTAAATAGTTCTCAACCCTATACTGATCTCCTAGGGTACACTACTAGTAGGGTACACTACTAGTGACTGGCCTCCAGTTGGACTTCATGCTAGTGATCACAACCCTCCGAGTATGGCATTTCAGTCAGTTTTAAATCCACCACACTGTCCCCTTATCTAGTCCACACTTCATCAGTTTGTCTGATGACGTTACAAAAGTGTCAAAAGCCTTATCAAAGTTAGACAAAAGACATCCAGTGCTCTCCTCTCATCCACCAAACCAGTCATCTCATCACAGAAGGCTATGAGGCAGGTTAAGCATGACTCAACAAGCATTCCTGAGCCCCTCTTCTCTTCAGGACCATATCCCATGGGATTCTTCCAAGCAGATACCTCAGAAGGTGAAAGTATGCTCTCCTGAAGCCCAGGCTTGTGATCTTGCTTTGTTGCTTTGCTCCCTCCTCCCAGGATCTCAAACCAAACCCCGCTATCTCATAGTCACCGCAGCCAAAGCTGTCCCTTACCTTCACATAAACAACCAATTTTTCCTTGCTTGTAAGCATGAGGTCTATCAGAGCACCCTTCCCTAACCGGCTCCTCGATCAGCTGTATCAGGATGATGTCAGCAATGCACTCCAGAAAACTTCAGGAGTGCTTTTGTAGTTTTGTTTGTCCAGGAGTTATCAGGGCGGCCCCATGAGGCCCATGAAATGTGAACACAGGGCTTCCTCCAGTTGTCTGAAGAAGGCCTTATCACTTTTTGGTCAGGTGGTCTGTGGCAAACACTCGCCACTACATTGCCCACCTTAGTCTGCTCCCTAATCCTGGCCCATAAGCTCTCAAATGGCTCATCAGATGTTCCTATGCAGTTCCACGCATTCCAGCTGCTCCCTCATATAAACAGCAATGCTCCCTCCTCACGCTCCTGGTGCCATTCTGCAACTGTCCTTCCTGAAAAGCCTGTACCTATCCCCTTGCCATACTACAGTTGCATGAGCTATCCCACCACTTCTCTGTCATAGCAATGAGATTGTGGTTGTGCAACTGCATACTGATTTCTCCTGTTCCTTGTGCTATATGCATTAGTGTACAGGCACTTCAGAAAGGCGCCTAGTCATGCTGATTTCCCAGGAACAGTGTGAGAGCTTTCCTCACAATGCTACACAGTTCCTTACTTATGTGCATGTGCTTGAGGTGGAAATCTTTAATCCCTGTTTTCTCAAGTATGAGATTTCTCCTCATCACCCCACACTGCTTGCTTGCCAATGCAATCAACTAATTCCTTTCTTGATCACTAGTCATACTCTCCCACCCTTGTTGTTCCTGGCTTACAGCTCTCCTCATAAGGTTGGCCAGCTGTTGGCAAAGATGCTTTTGCCCCACTGAGATAGATCCCATCTCTTCCAAGCAGTCCTCAATCCTCAAAGAGGTTCCCATGATCATAAAACCCCAAACCCTGTTGTCAAAACAAGCTGCACAAATGATTGTTAACATGCAGAATCAGTCCACCTCTCTACCCCTTACTGGTACAATTAAGAAAACCACCTGGGCTCTATGGCTGGGACGACTGCTCTCAGAGCCATACGGTCACTCCTGATACTGTCCAGGTCTCCCTGGTAGTATTGTTCATGCCAATACGGAAGAGCAGCAGAGGGTAAATGTCTGGGGGACAGACAAGCTTTGGCAGTCTTTCCATTATGTCCCAAATGTGAGGCCTTGACAAGCAGCAAACCTCCCTAAGATGACAAAGCAGATACACTGATCC